GACACTCCCAAGCCCAAATCCTTGCACCCTCTACAAGACCCCTGCAGCCCAATCCAACCAAATATACGGATAATTATTCTATATGACTCTCTCTCTCTCTCTCTCTCTCTCTCTCTATATATATATATGAGCGTGTGCCCGTGCATTTAATACTGTCAACTTAAGAAGCCTCGACCCTAGACCCCAAGAGCGGAAAACGCCAAGACGCCTATACCACTCAGACCGAAAAAACCCTGAAAACCCTAGACATCCTAAAGCCCTAAAGACCTGAAAGCCTAAAAGCCTAAAGACAGGAAAAGACTATCACGCCATGAAGAATCTGAAATGCCAGTCCTGGCTCACGGGCACAGCTCTGAAGCGGCCGCGCCCGCGACAACTCCCTGGGCAGAGCCAACCAAAATGTGTTTGGTCTCCTTCAGTTCAAGGTACAGTATTTGGGTGCATGGACGGCGTTGGCAAGGCTAGACACCTGTACGGCCCGAGCAGATGAACCCTCAACCTTACGTCAATCTCAAGACCATGACGAGGGGCTCGCGCGGACACTGCCGCTCTGCGAGCGGCTGCCCGAGCCGCCCCGCTGCCGGCCTTGTTGTAAATGAAGCTATCCCCTCATGAAGACATTCCTGATACTCCATGTGTGGCAAGGATCGTAGTTGAGGTTAAACCCTACAGCGGCAGTGGGAGCTTGGGCGCAAGCGGCCGGAGGTTTCCGCCAGTTTGTTTGTTTCGGGGCCGCCCAAGGTAGGCAAGGCAGAAACACTAATGCCTTTTCCGAGCCTTATATGCTGCATGGATGATTTCCAGAACCCGCACGTCACAAAAAAGGGGTGAATGGTAGACCTGCAGATATCAGGCCTACCTCCCAGTCTCCCTGTACCTCAGGAATCCCTCAATTCTTATCAATATCCTTGTGGAGACCCTCTAATGCCGAAAGTACAAAATAGTGATCCCCGTTCTACTGTGGTCTTGACCTTCTCAAAGTAAGTGTGTGCAATTTCTGGATTTTTTTGGTCCCTGGAAAATGTGATGAATATTAAGGGTGTTAATGGTTAATGTTAGGAAGAAGCAACTAATCACTGTGAGGCCTTCTACAGAACTTCACTGATGATCGCGAATTAACTCGCAAAGATCTCCGAGTTTCTACGAAACCTGGTGCTGGCGTGTGATGTCCTCTGGGGTCCCTACTGGCTTCGTGGGTTGTCAAAAATGCATGGTGGGAGATGTGGGACTCTGGCATCCTGCAGGCGAGAACCTTGCAAGACTGGTGGCCATCCTGTCATGCGGGAGCATTGAGTTCCACAGTCTGGCAATTTGTTGTAAGGCCTGACCTCCAGAATGCCTACCATCGTCCTAGCGCCTACTCAGATGAACAAATCCTGAGTGAGGTCTGGAGCCCGGCTCTGGAAAAGCCAATCCCAGCCTTCTCTTGCAAGTCTTACAATTCAAGAAAGTGAGGGTGGGCTCCCCATTTTGGGGTCCGAAATGAGAGTGATGATGCTGGCCTCGGGGTACGGGGTGGCAGTGCCTGTGTGCGCCGGCCCCATTGTCCATCCATCGACCGATTCATTCAAAGCGTAGAAGAAGTTCCATGTATCAGCACGTGAAGCTTGTTAGCTTAGAGGAGCCGGGAGCATTTGAAAAAGTTGCTTGCGCCGTCTTGGCTCCCATGTATGCCACAAGCCAACGTATTCGGATAAGCTCCGTGCTGGATTGGAACTCATGTAATTCGATGTAATTAGCATGTGAATCTTGAATAGAATCTTCTCATGCTCTACATGTGATGTTTTATGGGTTTTTAACAAGGTCGAGCATCTGCATAGATATTTTGGGCCGCCGAGTTGCTCGGGCGGCCTTGGCGCCACGCGGGGACGCCCCTAACTGCAGCCTGATGCGGGGTTGGAGTGCGACCCAATGTCAAAGAATCAGGAGTGCTTTCGAAGCCGGGCCTGCATCATGTCGAGCCGCGCAAGCAGGTCCTTAGCAAACACATTTAACTGGTAGGTTTACAAAGTACACGCTGCCGACAGCAAAGTCGCATCAACCTTGGTTGGTCAGGAATGATCTTCTGGAGTGGTCTCTAAGTGGTTCTGGAGTGGTCTTCTGGAGTGGGCTCTAAGTGGTGTTGGACTTGTCTGGAGCCTGGAGTGTTCTTCGAGTGGTCTTGGAAGTGGTCCGAGAGTGGTTGGTCTTCCGGAGTGGCCTCCGAGTATTCATCGAATGCTCCTGGACTGGTCTTCTCGAGTGGTCGTGTGGGTCTTCGAGCGCTCCCAGAAGTGGTCTTCTGTGTGGTCTTCATTAACTGGCAGTGGTTTTGGAGTCCTGGCTTGATCTTCTCCCAGAGATAACCCCAAGCTCACTCTGTGAGGTAATGAACGAAGCTCCTTCACGAGGAGCTTTCGTGACAAAGCCTTGACATCCTTGGCCCAAAGCCCCAAGACGGCCTCAGGCCCTGGCATCCAGGTCCATCTCCTGGTTGGTGATCTCCTGGCTGCGTCTCAGGCTTCGTTTGGGTTTAGGGTCTGGGGTTTACGGCCTGAGGCTAAGGGCGTTGACAAAGAGCCGGGCCTAGAGTTTACCTTTACGTCAAGGTTCATTGGTTTAGCGGTGTACCTTTTCCTACACAACCCTAAGACCTCATGCTCAGCTTCAGAACTTGCAGCCCAAGAGCTCGGGGAACGGTGTTTTGGATTCGGGTGCGAACGGGTGTGACCTCGTAAATTACGAGGTTGCACTTGGTCGCACCTCTAGTTCCGCGAAGTTCGGACTCCGTGTGTAGTTCGGGGAAAGCGGCATGGGAATCGCCAGAGGCAAACCCCCATTCTCGGCTCGAGAACCGGGGTTTGCTTTTGGGGGTGGGGGGGTCTAGAACATCGCGCAAGGCAAACCCCATTCTCGGCTCGAGAACCGGGGTTTGCTTTTGGAGGTGCGGTAGTGATAAAGGTCGTTGTCGTTGTCTTTGTTGTTGTCGTTGTGGTTGTGGTTGTGGTTGTTGTGGTTATAAACGTTGTTGTTGCTGTTGCTGTTGTTGGTGGTGGTGGTGGTGGTCGTGTCGTCGTCGTGTCGTCGTCGTTATCGTTGTGGGTGTTGTTGTGCTTGTTGTTGATGCTGTTGTTGCGGTCGTCGTCGTCGTCGACGTGGCGTGGTCGTCGTCGTCGTCGTTGTCGTCGTCGTCGTGGTCGTCGTCGTCGCTGTTGTCGTCGTCCTCGTTGTCGTTGTCGTTGTCGTTGTTGTTAGTCGTGTTGTTGTTGCTGGTGGTGGCAGTGGTGGTGATGGTGATGGTGATGGTGGAGGTGTTGTTGTTGTTGTTGTTGTTGTTGTTGTTGTTGTTGTTGTTGTTGTTGTTGTTGTTGTTGTTGTTGTTGTTACTCTCCTCCTGTTCCTCGCCAGTATGAGCCTGACAGCTGGAATCACAGCACCGACTGCAAGCTGATCAATAGGCCGGCTGTTTGTCTGCTCGGTTGAGCACGATACCAAATCCTGAACGTCTCCAGCGCAGCACTAATCGCTCTACACCTGAAGCACTAAAGAACTTGAATGCCAAAGCCAAAAACCCTAAAGCCCCAAACCCTCAACCTGTCTACAGCTCCTAAACCCTTGACTTTCCTACAATCCAATCCCCCAAGCCTCAAACTTCATAATTACCAAAAAATCTACACGCTATCTCCTACATGCCAGCCCCAACCCCTATGCACAAACCCCACAACATATTTCCCTGCACAACCGAGAATCAAATACCCTAGACATCTCAAAACAATGACACCTATACACTCCACATACTATTCGTTACTATCCCAAACCCTGTACCGACATCAAAGCCTAAGCTCTGCACAAACTCAATCCCGAGACCCCAGCCCCGAAATTTGAATCAACACTCGCAAAGCCTAAACCCTAAGCCCCAAACCGTTTTGGCCCAAACCGACAAAGTTTGAATTCGAAACATGGAGCCAAAACAACCAGCTCCCAACCTTTCAACCCTAAACCCTCCGCCCTTAGCCATCTGGCGTTTGGCCGCCTGGATCTTCGGCGGCGCAACAACGCGGGGCTCCACCTCGCGGGGGCTGTAGAAAGCTGTAGCCACTCCGATAATCACAGCCGTGCTCGGAAGACGGAAAGGAATCAGGGTGACCACCCGCACTTCCTCAGATATGTGATTACAGCTGCCATGTCGATGCAATGCACAAGGACCTTCTACAGGCTTGGACGACAAGGGGCTCTTCGCCACAGGAAGGCAACAGGCGGATTGTCAGCGACTTTGGGCGGGCCTGCTGAGTCGGCGGAGGCGCAAACCATTTGCGGATGCCTGCCCGGCCCAAAGCCGTCATGATCGATGCAGCAAACGGTTGATTCAGTATGCAGCTTGGAGCGTGCCTCGCGACTTCATCTTGTCTTCCTGCCATGACCACGGAGCTGGTTCAGGCAGGGTTCAGGGCTGAGGGCTTCCTGTGTTAAGGCTTATGGCCCAGCTTGGGTCTTCTAGATACCTGGATGAAAGTCCAAGGCTTAGGGCGAAAGGGCTGACTCAGTATCACAATAGAAAAAATAAAGATAATGCTATCAAGTGCGGGAGGATTCATATCTACCAATCTGTGCTATGCGGGTAGATGAATATGGATTTACTCATACACTTCTGTCTGATGGTTGCTACCGGCATTCCTTCTTTAAGGAAACCGCGAACGAATCTTCACATGCAACCTCACGACAGTAGACCTGGCGCTGCAAAGACCACCTACAACAACGCTATGCCGACGCCGAAGACACCAAAACCCTAAACACCCACGACCAAGCCCCTTTCACAGGATCTGGGTGCAGGCTACCCCACGCCCTAAACCGTAAAACCAACACATCACCATCAACCCTACACCCTCAACCCAAAAGACCCTAAAACTTCGAAATGAAAGGCCACGAACCCGAAACCATGGACCCTAGACCCCACATAGTCTCGGTCAACAGCCCTACACCCTGTAAACCCAAAGCCACAAATCCTTGGGTTCCGACCTCGCTACTGCCGCCTGCAATGAGTTTAGGGTGAGGCTTTGGCGGCTGAAGGTTTAGGTTTACATGATTAGCCTCTGCATGTGTACACAACACATATCTGCATATTCAGCAGCATCAGTGTTTGAGGGCTTTGTGGGCTTGGGGTGAAGGATTCCGATCCTGGATGTTTCGGTCCACTCTATAAGGGTCCGCTGGATTTTTGAAACTCGTTTACGCTCCAAGTCCTCCATGATAACTCACACTTTCATGCGTACCCTGGCTTTTACGAGCGCCTTTAACATGCCAGATAGACAGGAAGCTCAAACCCTCAAAACCGTAAGCTTAAAGCCTAAGCCACTAAACAGCCCAAACCATAGATCCCAAATTCTCAAAACACTAAAACCTAATTATGTTTCGGCTTCTCAATCACACACCCAACCATAAAGGATTCACCTGATGATACGCTGACGCTGCAGGTCCCTCAACTTGCCGCCAGGAAGCTGTCTGGATCATCGGAACATGGACGTGCTTCTGGACGGGCACTTCCACCACCTTGTCCACGTACCTGGGCAAGCATTGACCGAATTACTTTACTAGTAGTATTAGACGATCTTTATTACCATTACTGTTATCAATGTTGTTATTTCAACCCTCTTTCAAGCAGCTACTGAGCTGGGAGCTCTTGCTGCCGGAAGGCTGGATCTGTGGCGCCTCCACCTGCTTCTCCACGGTCTGGATCATGGGGACGTGCACCTGGGCTCTAAACTCGAGCTAGAATATCAGATAGCATATTTTAGGGGATTATAGTAACAGTCGGGTATTATTGCAGAATAAAAAAACCACCCACAAACCGTTTTGCAGTCGCCGACACCACAAAGGAAGTCACCCTCGCTCCCCAACTGCGCCTGCTTCTGGATGGGGATCTGAACCACCTGGTCCTCGTACTGGATCTGAGGAACCTCGACTTCCCTGCCAGGATGAAATAGATCTGCGCGAAAATCTATCCTCCCTTGCCCCTCCCACCAAAAATGTGCAACATGAAGTAGTCCGGAACGGACGCAGGCATGCATAAACCCATAAACATGCATGCATGCGACATGTACAGGGATGGATAGCTTTGGACTGACTGGCTGACTCGTAGACATAAAACACGTACGTCCCTGTACAACTTTTGAAGTACGCGCTCAGACCCTAAATCCTAAACCCTGAACCCTACACCTGTGTCAAAGCTCGGGCCTCTGGACTTGTTGCACCATGGGCACATGGACCTGCTTCTGCACCGGCACCTGAACGACCTGATCCTGACGATGACACTTCCTGCTAGAGTTTTACAGCTTTGGGGTTGGGGTTCAGGGGTGTAGGGCTGATGGGTATAGGGCCCAGAGATGCTTAGAGCCTAGGTTGAGGCGTACAGTTTGAGGCTTAGCACTTCTGCTCGTGCTGCCATCTGCCCAACACAGCTGCACCGCAGCGTTCCTCGTACTGGAGCTGTGGAATCTCCACCTGCCTGGGGACAAGGTTGCTTTGAAGGTCTGTTTATGATGAGGGTGAGGATGGTGATGGTGGTGGTGATGATGGTGAATTCCGAGCGCCAACAATTCTGGATGCACTGAAGCTTTCGAGCCTGTTACCGAAACTAGGAACAAGAACACGAAAAGGAGGAGCCGAAGAAGCAGAATCCGAAGAAAAAGAAGAACGAGAATGATAATCACAATGTTAATAATAACAATAACATTACTATTCGTGATTACAGAAGCAACAACAATAATCCTCGAGCATTTTTCGTCAGATTCATCATGACAGCCAACTGCTTTGAGCTTTCCTGGGGCCAGCGAGCCGATCATATGTGGAAGAGAGCACCCACTTTGGGAGCTTGAACTATGATGGCTTGAGGGTTTAAGCTTAAACCTCGGATGGGCTTTGTTGGGCTGTAGGTTGCGCATGAATGAACTAAAGCTAGTCTTACTGAATACTATACGACAAGCAATCGAAAATGACTGCGCCCCTCACATCACTCCGGCTGCAGGTTTAAACAAGTTCAAGAACTTCGTTCAGGACATGAGGAACCCGGGTAAAGGGCTTAGGTGGCAAAACCCTGAAGACAATCCGTCGAACCACAAGCCCATGAACCAAACGGAAGACACCTGTAGCAGAATAATTAGAATTGGGTTTTGGGCCCATTATACTATAAATAGAAAAAGGAACCCCATAATAGCTCATTACATCGCTCGAAGACCCCTACACCTGATCTGTCTGGCAGACCAGTCACGGCCACAACCCGAAGTCACAAGGCCCGACCCGCCTCTGCACGGTTTGGACCATGGGGATCTGCACCTGCTTTTGAATGGGCACCTCGATGATCTGGTCCTCCCGCAGGCTCCAACGTTAAGTTGCCGAGTGCAACTCGCAGAATGGGCAGCTGAATCAATGTCACGTCAATCAGATAGTCACCGCAGTCGGAGCAGAAATGGTAACACGAGCAACAATGCGATTGGCAAGACTAGTAGTTGGGTTAACATCAGACGAGGAGACTTCAAGGAACAGTACAAAAAACAGTGCGAGTAGTGGCTATGAACCTCGCAAGTTAACAGATCATAAAGCTTGATGGGAGGTGTGGGATGCAGGATCGCCAAGTCCTAGACGGCGATGCATCGAGAGCTTTAGGATTAAACGGATAAGAGTTCATGCGCACCTTCGGGTTGAACCTTTCAGTGCTCGCGAGTATTTAGGGCCCCAGGGTGCGACCTGCGAAGAAGCAGCGGCCCTCGGCACGGGTCCTCGTACTGGAGCTGCGGCACTTCCACCTGCCTCCGATGAGAACTGCAACTGAGGAGGGGTTGGGGATCTAGAAAACTTCAACTTTCACGTCGCGACGCGCAGCCGGGCGTCGGAAAGCAAGGTGCCAGCCTCTAAGTTGCGCAGGGACATGCTGGAGTGCCCCGTGCCTCTGCGCGGTCTGGACCATGGGGATCTGCACCTGCTTCTGAACCGGCACCTCCACGATCTGGTCCTGCACCAGCACATGCCACCAGGCACTGCAGGCGCCTCTCTCTTTCTCTCGTTCTCTCTCTCTCTCTCTCTCTCCCTCTCTCTCTCCTTCTCTCTATCTGACTCACTCTCTCTCTCTCTCTCTCTCTCTCTCTCTCTCTCTCTCTCCTGGGCATGAGGGCCGGTCAAAGCCCCCGAGCATCTTGCCCACCCGATGTGTTATCGATAACTACAAAGAATGGCCGTACTCTCTCGAAAGACACATGCTTGTAGCCAACTACTTCCCCCACATTTGGTGCAAAACAACGATGAAATACCAACCAATGTTGCTTGGGGGACTTCCTGACAGTTTGTGTTTCTCTGCCCATGTTTCACACGTAGGCGAATTCAAAACTCTCTCTCTCTCTCTCTCTCTCTCTCTCTCTCTCTCTCTCTCGTTCTTCATAGGCCGCTTGCAATGAATCCGCCCTGGCATGCAAACCTGCAATTCATCACACAACCGACTTGCTCGTGTCCTCGTACTGCAGCTGCGGCATTTCCACCTGCCTGGAGGAAGCAAGCCCCGCTGGATGCAGATCTTATCATATTCAGACTTACTGCATGAGCCCCGCAGGCCCCGAGCCTAGTCGCTGGCCCAAACACATGCCTCCTACCTCCGACGACGGATTCGTGTACTTGGTTTGTCGCAGCCAGGGTCATCAACATGATTATCGTCGAGACCATGAGCATGGTCATCATCACTGCCACTGTCACCATCATCACACATAGCTGCATCATGCTCAATACCACGACTCCGGTGGCCCAGATCTCAGCAGGGCAATGACAGCGGCACGAAGTAGCAGTAGCAGTAGCAGTAGCAGTAGCAGTAGCAATAGCAATAGCAATAGCAGTAGCAGTAGCAGTAGCAGTAGCAGTAGCAGTAGTAGTAGTAGTAGTAGTAGTAGTAGTAGTAGTAGTAGTAGTAGTAGTAGTAGTAGGAGTAGCAGTAGCAGCAGCAGCAGGAGCAGCAGTAGTAATAGTAGTAGTAGTAGTAGTAGTAGTAGTAGTAGTAGTAGTAGTAGTAGTAGTAGTAGTAGTAGTAGTAGTAGTAGTAGTAGTAGTAGTAGTAGTAGTAGTAGTAGTAGTCAGGCATTGCTGTGTTTTCCCTCCTACCTCGCAAGGACGAGCCCGCATTACAGTAGGAGGAGGAGGAGGAGGAGGAGAGGACACATCCCCGGGCCTTAAACTCTTGGACGGCGCCCGCCAGGACGCGGAACGCCTGCCACCAAATCGGATGCATCATTGCATCGCATGTGCACATCCGAAACCGCACCTCTTCGTCACTGAGGAAGCGGCCTCGAGAAGTGAGGGTTCCTCAGGCTGCTGATATCATTCTGCACTGTTCTGCATTGTCTTGGTTTGTCTTGTCTCTGTCCTGTCCTGTGATGTCCTGTGTTGTGGTGTGTTGTGTTGTCTTGCCTTGTCTTGTCGCGCCATGTGTTGTCTAAGTTTAGTCTAGTCTACTCTAGCTTACTATTGTCGAATCTTGTCTATTCGTATCTTATCTTGTCTGGATTTGTCTGGACTTGTCTCGCACTGTCTTTTATTGTATGACAACGAATATCTCACACGAAGAGCCCTAAATCCCTGGCGCACGCACACCGTTTTCCACCTGCTTCCGCAACGGTGGCGTACGTCTGCGTTTTCGATCGATCTTCTTCGAAGCCAATTCGAGGTTCATCATTCCTTACAGGAGTGTGATTCGACATTTCTGGGGGGGACCGACTGTTTCCCAGTCGGACTCTCGCAGACCGGAAGCAGAGGAACATCGATACATGACCAGGGTGAGGAGGGCGGGTGAAACAAAGCTCAAGCTTTCGAATCTTATGCCAAACTGGCAACGGTACATAAACATAAACAAGTTCGCAAGAATCGATCACGAGTCTGTTCGGTGTGAATGTAAAGAGTTGTCATTTCGCACAAGTGTGTGCTACACGACAACGAATATCTCACACGAAGAGCCATAAATCGCTGGCGCACGCACACCGTTTTCCACCTGCTTCCGCAACGGTGCCGTAAGTCTGCGTTTTCGAGCGATCTTCTTCGAAGTCGATTCGAGGTTCATCATTCCTTAAAGGAATGTGATTCGACATTTCTGGGGAGGACCGATTGTTTCCCATCGGTGGTGGTCGCGTCCTCCCATCGCAGGCAAACGCCACCTGCTCACACGGTCATCGGCCTTACTGGGAAAGTCTCTTCAATCGTGCATGTAGTCTATCAACTTCAGGCATGTCAGAAAAGCCCATGGAAGATGCGAAGTGAATATCACCAATGATCTTGGCGGCACGACTAGCTAGGGCCTGTAAAGAAAGATCGAGTTTGGTCCATGTGGCCGACTCCTCGACGTGCTCGAATCGGAAATGTTGGCCTTGGTCGGTACTCGGTCGAGTCGGTGTGCAAGACTTCGGCGATTGTGCCACGTCCAGTGCGCGGCAATGAGGCAGTTCAACGGCTGGTGTTTACCTACTCCCTTAAGGCATGTCGGGAGGCCTCGTTGTCACAACACTGCACGTAGAATCGAGCCAGGGTTCGAAGATAAGCGGTGCCAGAATCGCCACCCAAGCTTCGAGGAGGTATATGAAAGCCTGGTCGGAGGAGAACTGCCGCACCAGAACGGAAGGGAGACGTCCTTGGAAGTATGCGGCTCGTTGCACATCACCGTGGTGGAAGCAAACCGCCGCCCAACCGTTCTCGATCTCAGCGATCTTCTTGGAGTCCCAGTTCGGGATGTCGGGGTCGCCAGGCTTTTAGATGGTGGAGCCGAGTTTGAAGTATACGCATCGGTGTAGATCACGGGAGACCGTGGTATTGTCATGGGCTTACAATGACGAATGATGTCCTTGAGGGCTAGCAAAGAGGATCTCGTCGGCTTGTCGATGGAGTGGGTGTTCGAGTTGGCTCTGGCATAGAGTGCCTTCAGTGGAGCACGTCCCACCTTGCCGAATAAGCGGCCCGTCAGGAAGTTGCACTTCCCCTCCATCTTGCGGGCCTGCTCCGGTGAAATGGATCCAAGTTCGAGGTGTCGATCGATCTGTTGGCACATCGTGTCCACTCGGTTGGGACACGGAGCCAAAACGAGGTTTTGTCCTGATCGGAAGAGATGATAACTCCTTGTATACGGTGAGCGATCTCGGGAGGCTGTCGTTTGCTAGGCTTCATCGCGATTTGTAGGCAGATTAGGCAGCCGCTGTATTTCTCGAAGGATTCAAAACTGCTTTCTGCGGATGTGCTATCCTCCATTGAGCCGTAGTCATCGACGTAGTGCATCGCTGGTGACAAGATCATCGTGCGACTACAAGCGACAAGAATGTCGCCGAATCGGTTGTATGACCAAACACTGGCTGCCGATCCGAATAAAAGGACATTGTGGCCCCATAATGTGGGACACTCCGGAGAAAGTAACAATACGTAGGCTTCTCTCGGGTCTCGGAGTGGTAGTTGTCGGTAGGCTCCATCATGATCGTGTTCCCAGACTGAAAGGGGTCTGCGAGGGTCATCGCCGAGGAATTCGAGGCCTAGCGATACGAAGTGATCCGGAGTATGGTGGAAAGGCTGATCGTGCATCGTGCACGTAGCGTTGTGTCCGCTGCGACGCCAATCCTCACCTCGGCGTATCTTGGTGTTGCCGTCGCCGCCCGTCTGTTCGATGCTGAAGGCCATGGCGATGTAAGGATCGGAGTGTGGTATGGGCAAAAGCTCCCGATGTTTGCCCTTCGACGGAATCACGGATTGCCGGAGCCGCCAGTCCGGGGCTCGATATGGCCCATTCATTCGGCCCATGTCGACCTCCGCCAGTATCTCGCCCAACATCATCTCCCAAGTGTTCGTCGACCGCATTCTTCTCGAGTATATCGGTGATGTAGTTCCGAGTCTTTTCACTGAACTCATCCAACGGCGTGGGGTCGAGGTACTTCCGGTCTTGGCGCACATGCCAGTTGACGCCAGGTGTGAGGTTGCCCATGAGCGGAAACCCTTCGGAGAGTTCTCGGTATATGAGTTCGGTCTGTGGGTAATTGATTAATCGCAGTAGGTGGATGAGTACGGGGATCTGGGTCACGGAGTCTTTGTGACGGTACGCTCGTTGTACGTGTTCAGGTAGTGTGTGGAACCAAGCCATCGTGTGGTCCTCCATTTCGTCGACGAGGTCCTGGATGTCGGAGATAGCAGCCTTCTGAAATTCTCCCAGGGGATGGAAGTGATGTCGATGTTGGATGCACCACTGCAGTGTCGGGCCCAATGCTTCGGAGATAAATGTGTTCCTCTCGCCAGAGCCCACTCAAGGTGTTCTGTCCATGAGAACTGTGGCATGTAGTCGTGGGTAGACGCCCGAGGTGGGGGCCCGAAGGGAACTCGGTGTTGCATCCAGAACTCAGTGACATGCTGAAGCGCGGAAGATCGAGGTCGTGTGGGGATCGTCGCATCGACCGTTCCCAGCAAAAGGAGAAACAAGATCCAAATCGCGGTAGGCAGACGCCAAGCATTCCCCAGTGCAACGAATCTTTTCGTATCGTCACCGGAGCCCAAATCAGAGATGGCTCCTTTTTGGCTCTGCTGAACGTGATGTCCCATGTGCACAGCGACGGAAATGTACATGAACCGGAGCTATGCACAACAGACGCGTCTGAAATGAACATCTGCAGCTGAAGAGGAGCATCTTCGATGCACGATCTGCTGCTTCCACGGGCGGCCGAGGGAGGGCGAAAGAGCTGCAGCACCGCAGGTCTCACTCGCAATCTCTGCAAGTCAGAGATGGCTCCTTTTTGGCTCTGCTGAACGTGATGTCCCATGCGCACAGCGACGGAAATGTACATGAACTGGAGCTATGCACAACAGACGCGTCTGAAATGAACATCTGCAGCTGAAGAGGAGCATCTTCGATGCACGATCTGCTGCTTCCGCCTATGTCATGTACTACTGCCGCTGCTGCGCGCAGGAGGGTTTTGCTGAATGACGACTGAGAGGAGAGCATCTGCATGTTGAGCCAGCTCTGAAATCTGGGATCGTTGACTCTGGGTCAATCCGGTCATCAGGAGCTGTCCCGCGACATCCTGCAGATAAAACTCAAGTGTCCACTTCTGCTGCCAGCGTCCACGCCACTGGATCCTGTCGATGTCTTCCGTGCGCTGGTAAAGCCAAGTTGCCCCAGAACCTCGCAAGCTCTTGGGAGTCACTCCCTCTTCCGCTTCCAGCACAGGCACGTGAAGATGCGAAAAGACAGCGTTCCAGCGAGCCCTGAAAACAGCTGGCGAGCACCCAAACAGAGGAGCATCATAATCCACATCCTCGTACAGAGCGCTGAGGAACTGAACCGAAAGAGAATCTGAAATCTTCGCATGCTGTCTCTGAATCAGGGGACTTGTTTTGAATGTAAAATCCTCACGTAGGCCAGCGGAACAGCGCAGAGAAGATCACTGGGGAGAATAAGGTCTCGACGCCTCAGACCTAGAATTTCCCCCGGCCTGAGTAGACCGTGGAAACCCAGAAGCAGCGCAGCCGTAAAGATCGGCCAGCCCCACAAAAGGCTCAAGGAGACAGCGGCTCGAAAGAGAGCCTCGGGCACCACCATGCCTCGAGAGGAAGGCTCCTCCTCCTGCCAGCGAGTCAGTACCGCCCAGGCGCCAGCCAGTGTGGATTTGTGGTGTTTGAAGCGGTCACAAACAGAGTTTAGCGTCTCAGAAAAAAGGTACCTAGGCGAACCACTATAAAAGAGAAACTTTCCATACCCGATCAACGCCGTTGCTAAAAGCAGACCAGAGCAACTGATTCTTGCAAAACCGCGGTCCAGCTCACCCTCCACCCAGGAGACGAAGTCGGCGTAGAGTGTGTCGCGCCTCTTTCACACAGTAGGGGTGAGCCCAGCTTGAACTTCAAGGTTGACGCCCAGCCTGTCCGCCAGATCGCGGCGCTTCGCACGAGGCATTCAGAATGTCCAACGCCACACTGAGGGCCGCCAGTCTAGCCCAACCATCCAAAGGCTGGGCGTAGCTGTCGGCACGGCGGACTATGTCGAACAAGGTGAACTGTCCTGCCAGAAACTGCCGCAGCCACAGCGGCCGCTGCTGAGAACAGCTCTCCCGAAGAGCGGTCAAGCGTGAAGGGTCATCTGAAGGATTATCTCGGGTGCCTATATGAAAATAGTGGGGGTACAGGTTGCAACCGGCGACGTAGGGAAGGGCAGTGCTCAAGTAGAAATTCAACTTCTGACTACTCGACCGGCCTTTGGAGTTGCAGCCTATAACGACCCTGCTATCTAAAAGGACCCCGAACCTAGAATCTGGACTGGTCTTGCCAGCGTGTTTGAGCAAGCTCCTCAAAGAAAGTTCCTCATTTGTGTTTATGTGATTCTGCTTCTTGAAGCGATATTGCAGCAACACTCGCCAGGAGAGACATGAGCCGAGGTCTCCGATCCAACGAGGTGGTGAAGGAGCCGGACGTTTGAAATCAGCTACACCCCTTCTGAGTTCGGCAATGTGAGGTCTCATGCATTCTACAAAGCGATCACTGAAGGGCAGCGGGTATGTGGCTGAAAACATCCGCACTGCTTCACCAAGCTTGGGCTCACGGCCAAAGACACTGAAACAGTCGGGTTTGCAACGCAGCCTGAACTTTTTGAGGGACTCTTGGCGCTGAAAGAAGCTTCGACCCGGAGGTGCGGTTCGGCAGACGAGCACGTGCACCGGCATGCGAGGCTGAGCGGCCCACTGCGGTTTATTGGCCAATGTGAGCTCTGCTTGTAGGGAGTCCCGAAAGAACAGAAGGTAACCTTAAGGCTCGAGTAACCCTTGCTGAAGAGACGCTGAAACACCTCAAGACGGTACATGACTGAACCGAGGGGCTGCTCACAGGAAGCAGCCAAGCCATGCGCGGAGCACAAGTGCAGAAGGAAGGCCGCTCTCCGAGCTAGCCTGGTGTCCTCGCACGACTCCTGGTGAGACACGTCAAAACCTGAAGGTAGAGTCTTGCTGCGAGTGCGGGGACGGTACGAGTTCCCAAAAGATCTACACCGGGGGGCTATATGAAAGTAAGCAACAACACGCCTACAAATAAGCCCGATGATGTGCAGCATGGTATTATAGGTGCAGCGTGCGATCCCGGACCCTCGCAAGCAAAGTCAAACCCGGGGTGCACGCAAAACCCTCTGTCTCTGAAGGAGGCACTGAGCCCGCTCCCAACTCGACCTACTTCGCAAAAGTCGAAAAGGATGCCCTCAGCTAAAATCCTCGGGACGCTTTCGGGAGAGTCGTCAACTAAACCCGGGGGCAAGTTGAAATGCTCTAGGTAAGCGGCAACCTGAGGCTTAAGTGCGTATGGAAGCCCTTATGGTCCGCGTGACGGAGCAGCTCAAGACAGACCTCCGGTCTCAGAGAGGATTCGCACACCCCTGCTGCGGGTGAGCACGAAGATCTGTGGCCATGCAAGGTGCGAACAGAGTGAGCAACAAGAGCTCCTGTCGGGAGTCATGGCTTAAAGGGAAGACCTCGCCATCCTTATGCTGCGCAATATCGTGATATAATTGGGTGATGAGACACATGAAGGGCCTGCGGAACATCGCGACAAACACCCAAGAACCTACAATACTGGCTAAGATCTCCTTCGTGCTGAACCCGAGCACGGCAAGCTGAAACGTGAGAGCACACAAAACGGTGGTTTTCAGCTTCGGAGCTGATATCGTGCCGGCCTCGCCATCTATCTGACCCCCAAGAACAGTGGCACGATATGCGTTGCGGATGGCTTTCTTAGGCGCAGTGCGAAGGCCGGCTTTTGTGTACATGCGAGCTGCTCGTGCGAACAAGGCGAGGTCGGCACGGTTTACATCAGGGACCCTGCGTGCCTCAAGCTTGGAGACCAGCAACAAATATGCATGGTCATCAATGCATAGTAGCTCAAATCCGGTACCTCTAGGAATCGGATGTTTGTAAGCTACCTGCTCTGAGCTTTTGAGGCAAGACGCCCGGCGCAACAAAACGGTATGAGCATGTTGAGCGGTCTCCACCGCGTAGCTGGTTCCCATGGCTAAGCTTTTGAAGCAGCCGACTACGGGTTTATCATCAAGTTCAGGCTTGTAAGCTCTAAAGCCCCTAAAGTCAGAACCTCGAAACACTCCGTGAATGTGGTTCCTAGCGGCATGCTCATTCGAAATGACAAAGCCGTGGTAAAAATCTTTGAGATCGTCAGAACCTACAACCAAATAGGGGCAATGTAGATCTGTCCCAGCAGGCAAGCGTGAGCGAGCGACAGCGTGGAATCAGATATGAAAAGCATCGGGCATTTTCGGGGATTGGGTTGAGGATCTGACGGTCCACAGTGTCACTTTTGTATACGGCAAACAAGCCGCATCTGTACCTGACCTCAGACGAAGCAGCAGGAAGGAGGAAAAGTGACTCCACATCATCCCACGTGCGGAATAGCTCGAACTGTTGATCACGGGATGCCATAACCCGAGCTCGCTTCGTCTTCGGCCACTGCGAGGCGGGACGCAACAATGCATAGGGGTCAAGGTAAGCACTCTTTAGCAATGGATCAACCAAGTACGGGCTGGCATTAAACCTCGGCGGGGTGTCAAACACTAGCCTATCGGGGTTGATACGTAAAGAGGTTGAGGAGGGGCCTAGCCTAAAACCTCAAGAAGAGGGTTGTGATGCAGGTTGCGAGGGCCCGTAGCCCCGGGATGAGCGCTCCGGCCCATCAGGCTCATACGCATCGGCAGGAGAAGCAGTGCACTTGCTACGCGTACTGTAAGGCTGAAACTGCGCATAAAGGGCACTGCTACGATGCCGAAGGTCATTCAACTGATCCTCAAGAAGAGAAAACTTCTGAACTGCACGATCTAGTTCGCGTCTAGGTCCGGAACCTAGGCAAACCCAAGCTGAAACCTGCTTCTCAAGCCGATGGATCATTGCGGCTTGCGCGATGCTCAAAGGCAGCGGGGCAAGCGCGGGGTGCTCAGGACGGCCACTCACAAGAAAGTTGCCCGCAGCCACAAGTAGGCGGGTCCAATTGCGTCGGTGGTGCCGGAGCGCCCAGCGCGCCCTGCGCCGGCCCCAAAGCCTTGTACGAGGGGCGGGCACTGGAGCAGGAAGGGAGCAGGGCCAAAGCTCGGAGGAATGCTGCGAGGCAGCACTCAAAACTGGTAGAGCGCTTGCTCGCCGGATATAATTAGACAGCCTAGTGCGCGACCTGCCCAAAAACTTAAGCACGCATGAACACAAAGCTGAAGCAGACAGGGTGCTGTCCAAACCTGGCGGCAATACATCAGGAAGAAAGAAAGGCCCAGGCCTCATGCCTGAGCGTTGGCCGATTGGCCGGTGCCGTCTTTCGGGCACCGTCTGTGGCCCTTGCCCTTTGGTTCGTCGCCCCCCTGGCCGGTGCCTTGACTGCTGCCGGGTGGCTGCTGGCTCCTGAAGGTCCGGTCCTGGATCTGTTCCACGTCCCATCGCGGATCTAGAGCCCCGTGAGGGACCTCGCTCCGAGGAGCGCGCCGGTTTTCCACCAGACTGAAGGGTGGGTCCTCCCTGCACGTGAGAAGCCAAGCCAGTCTGGTCCAGTCTGGTCGAGCCCTGTTCGTTCGCTACCTGACAGGTAGGTCAGCGTCTTGTAATTGCCGAGGGGTACGACTTCCTGGAAGTGAAGGAACGTGTCCCTGGCCTCGAGCTGCGTAGCAGAAGTCTTCCTGCGCGCCTGAGCTAGACGATCCCGCACCCCAGTGTAAACGGCGAGCGGGTTGCGCTGAAACTGCTTTGCGAAGCAACTGGCGGGCGGCCATGCCCCTGGGAACTTTGACCCGTTTTTCGAAGAGGTTCCCGAGCCCAGGAGGTGCATTCGCCTTCTGTGAGGAGGCTGCCAGCTGTGAGAGGATGGCCGTCTGCTGAGTGAGCAGTTGCCCTATAGCAACTGGCCGCTTGCACCCGCCCCGGTGCGGGGACGGCCTCGGCCTCCTCGCCCTACTCTGGGATGGTTACGGGAGTCACGGGAACTGGAAGCGGGCCTTTCATCGCACTCAGCAGCCACTCGTGCCAGGCCAGCGGCCAGCTGCACTCGGGCCGGGTAAGTCCTGGAGGAGCTTCGGGCCACGACCTGCTAAGGACACCAATCGATCCAGCTGCTCTGCACCTAGCTGCTCCCGGGCTTTGTCCTGGAAAAATTGCGGCGCCCACGCCGGTAGTTCTGATCTGGCGCCAGCTGGATCTGGGGCTGGAGACCGCTGTGACTCCAGAGTGTGCAGCCGTCGCTCCACGGAGTCTCTAAGGTGGTGAGCCGCGACTGCATGCCTGCGAGAACGTGTGTGTTTGTTCCGAGCTCTGCGACAAAAGCCGATGCAAGATGTCCTCCTGAGAAGCTGCGGCCCTCGGGGCAGGATCCGAGCCGGCGGCCTTCCAGTCGTTCTGCACTCTCGCCAGCTAACTCCTCCCCATTGAGGGCCAAACGGTCTATACGCGATAAGTCCCAAAGTTGATTACCGCGTCCGCTTCCGAGGGAAGAACCTCGACAAGAAAGTCGATACCGGCACTGGCGATGTCGACCAGAAGGCAAGGCACTGTCTTCACTAGCTCGCGGCCGGCAACAGAGACTGCTCGCACTGGAACGGCAGTCCATGGACCGAAAACCCCAGCGAACTGACCGGCCGAAGCCTCCTGGGTCCTCCTCGGGGATAGCCAGCGGGGGCAAGCAAAGCATAAACCCAGAGTCCACGGCCCGCACGATAAAGCAATGTGCGGTCACACCTGCGCGTGCAAAATGCAGCTTGGTACAGCCGCCTTGGTCGCTGGCGGTGCGCCATGCTCCAAGGTACTCGGGCCGCGAGGGCCCAGACATCACGGCAAGCGGCGAGGCAAGCCACCTAGGCCTGCTCCGCAGCAAAAGGCTTCCGCTTCGGCAAAGCTTGCAAACCCGTGAGACACCGAGATGGGGTCCCAAGTGTCCCCACAGGCTGGTTCTTCACAATCCGAAGATAATAATACCCAAGGCCACAAGTGATAAAAGGTTCCGAAACAGCACTGCCGAAGAGAACCACGTACACCACCTTGCGGCCACCGGCTTGACGACTACTGAAGTAACCACTGTCCCCGCGAACCTTTGCAGCGGCCTCGCGACCAGTCGCGTAAGCGATCCGAATGCGTCCGTTCGGCCCGTGGCCCGTGGCCGTTGACAGCAGAGCGGAGCTGCGAAGCCAGAGCAGTGACCTGAGAAGGGGCGGTGGCCTCGGTGTCAAGAAGGGCCCACGAGGGGACCACAGCAGGCCGATCGGCAGTGGAAGCAGCTGGTGGCCTGATTGTATAGAATGAAGTATAGTATCCGGAGCCCCGTGGGAGATGACGGTGACGTTGCCCAGCCGTTCGGTGAGATTCAAAATCTCGTCCTGATCAGTCCCGGTGTGCATGCACAGGGCGATACCTGGCCAGGCGGTTTCCAGCAGGAGGGGCTTGAGGTTGCAGCTCACGCACCACCACCCCAAGGCAGGCCCAGCCAATTGATCGAGCAGATGGGCTGGTGATCAAAAGGACGCAGAAAGCGCCGCAGAAGAAGCCCGCAACCCAGAAGCCTATGGCGAGAAGGATCAGATCAGAAGAGCTCCTGGCGGGACAACCTAAGAAGGCCCACAGGAAGCCCCAGGGGTCAAAGCGATCAAACATTCAGGGCCGAAAGAGCTGCAGCACCGCAGGTCTCACTCGCAATCTCTGCAAGTCAGCGGTGTAATCGAGTGGAAGTCCTTGTAGTTGTTCACGGAGCGACACTGGAGCCGTAGCCATGGAGCCGTCCGGGAGTGTGACCAAGAACTGGCTTTCGTATTGCCACGGTGGATATCTGCGATTGTCCGGTTCCCAACGGGTCCATGCTTCTTGTGAAGTGGAACGGTCATTGATTTGTCGGGGCTGCGTCCTGCCACGTACGTGTCGAGGCAGCCGGTGTAGTTAGACAGTGGAACAACTCCTTGTCGTTCTGCAAACAGTGGGGAAGCGAGTAGCCGTCGGTGACGAGGGGGCGCTGTAAGTCTGTCGCCAACGGGTTGTGTAGTCTGTCCCAGTCGCCGTCAAGGTGCCACACGAGCGACCACGGGGTCAGTCTCGGGAGCTTCTCGGTGTGATGCCAGGGAATCGAAGTCCACCAAAGGCGTTTCCGGTGCATCAGGCCGGAATCCGAAGCCTCCACGATGATAGGATCCGTGCCAAGCGGAGTGGTCAGCTCGAGGAGGCTATTTCGGATGCTCGGGTGAGGTACCACGTGACAGTCTCGATGGGCACACCAATGAATCGTTTGCGCAGCCGATTTGAAAAGCCACCCCGAAAATCCATCGGAGCCTTTGGGTTGGTCTCGCAGATTGGAGAAGTCCGGGTACGGGGGACCGGCCCCAATGATGATTATGCACTGTCGACCCTGAACTGTATTCTCGATGTGGTGTGCCACTCTATCGATGTCGAAGTTGGGGACGTCTCCCATTGATACGGAGGTAAAGTGGTGAGTCACGAAGCCGGCGCAGTCGGTGTCGATCGCCCAGGATGGTATGAGGAGCACGTTGTCGTTGATTCGTCACAGTGCCTCTGAGGCGATGCCGATGCCATCGCGAATACAGATGTACAAGAGGTAGAGCACCAACGATCTCGTGGCAAAGTGTAGTGACTCTGTCGCGTTGATCTGTCATCCGATGGTCGGCTCCAGAATCCGACGATTCTGGGCCGTGCTGTCCCTATTTGTTGCCGCCCTTGCCCGATTTGCCCTTCTTGCCGCCTCCTTTGTACCCCTTGTCTCCTTTAGTGTTCCAAGGCGGTCGTTGTATCATCGAAGAACTTGACGTTAGGGATTTGTTGTGCATGTTTACGTACGAGCTTAATGAACCAGTCGACGTACTTGTTGATGACTGTCTCGGTGGCAAATTTGACGAGGATCCACGCCCATCTATAATCGCCTCAATAGCGTCGATGAGCATCCACTGTCCTCTGACATCCCAGTCTTCCTGGGCTTTCTCTGCGATATTGTTCCGATCGTCGATGATCAACTTCTTCTCGGAGTTGTCCTTCTCGGAGTTGTCCTTCTTGCGGTTCGAGTTGATCGTGCTGAAACTGGTCCAAATTCGTTGAGATATAATCTCGCCCAAGGATGTTGCTGTGTACATCTTCGAGGTGCGGTGTTCATGGTACACGCGAGCCAGTACCTTCTCGGCTCCCAAGAGATTGCGTTCGGGGAAATGTCGTCTCTCGCCGTCCACGGTGATGTCGTTGTAGTCGCTGACGAGCTTGGTGTAGACGTGTAGACCCCCGCCGGCAAGGACTTTGGGACAGTATCCTTGTCACTTGCCGAACTGGTCGTCGTCGTACCTGGCGTCGCCGTAGTCGAAGATGCTGGCCGGGGTTGTCGTCGACATTTGGCACGCGTGCCTGGCTGCCTGTATGAGTACCATCCACTGTGCCTTAAGTGCATCCTCATCGGTGTGGTCTCCCAATTTAAACTCGGTGTCCCCGACTTTGACGCCTCTTCGGAGTTTGACGATGAGGTCCGTAATCGCCGCGTTGTCGTGCAAGTAGGTGCTGATCGTGGCGTGGGACTTGAGCCCGATCTTCGCGAGGTACCGGGCCACGACGTCGGTGGCGAGGTCAACCCCGGCCAAAGCGGCCGCATCGTCGAGAGGGCTATAGTCCCCATGCGAGGGCTTCTAGGTTCGTCGACTTGAAAAACAAGGAGCTATCAGAAGAGGGTTCAGTCCCCTACTCATGGAGCGCAGGTCGGGCTCACGAAGGCGCAATTTCGAGGTCATGAGTAACTCGCAAGGAGGAGTTCAACCTAGAGGTCAACCGACGACACATCGCCGAGGCGGAAGTCGAGGGTTCACTCGTCGTCCTCATCGGGTTGAGCATCGGCGAAGTCTTGTACTTGTGCTTCGCCTAGTTTAAAGCATCGTTTGCACCGAGGTCCGGTCGGTTCGCGGTATTCTCTCTGGTGTGGTGCAAATCGTATGGCCAGCCACAAATGGTGCGCCAGTGGGCATTGTCGCAGGAGGACTCGGAGACTCCCGCGAGGTGAGCGACCTTATAGTGACCGAGTTGACCACCACCATCTCGCGAACCTGTTCGGGCTTGGTAGGAGCATCAGGTCGATGGAATTCGTCACATCGGTGTAGCAGTGCCCCCTGCACGTACACTTTGATGGCATCGCTGCCCCAGCGGCCAATCAGCTGCACGGTGTCAAGCGGTAATCCACGACGTGTCAGCATCTGTGCTCCTGACACCCTGCAAACGTGTTCACAGAACCGCTCGAAGAGGATCCCGTTAGGGCCACATCGAGTCATCGTCCGTGTCTTCCGGGAAAAAAAGGACCTTCACTCGGACAGTTCAAAGATCTGAGCCTGTCGAGGTGTCGTTGTAGGGCATGAAACGGGCAAAGTTTAGGAGACTTCGTGCAGCAGCAAGGATGGGATCGGGTCACGCACAAGCCCACGATGTCTGTCTTGGTACACGGAAGTGCGATGAACGAGGTCCGACCGGAGTGCGTGATCTCGAGCCAGGCCTGACCGACAGATGATCACCACGTCGACTCGATGTAGTAGTCGATGTGCCCAGGGGTGCGGACCATCGAAGTCATCGTTGCCAGGCTGCCCCGGCAGTCTGGACTTCCTGGACGAAGAAGGAGTCCTTGAGTTTCGAAGGCCCACGTCCTCTCCACGGCCCTCTCCACCTGCTGCATCTTGAGCGATACCTCGGGTGGAACGGTCGTCTTGGTCTCGGAGATGTGCTCCTGTCGTGCTTGGCAGAAAATCTGCTAAGGCGACTTGTGGCCGCCTCGAAGACTAGCTCCGATGGCGGCAACCACAATCGTACTGACAGAGAGGGGCAAGGGGTCGAGGTCCCATGCGTTGGCTAGGGTGATCCACAATATCCATCGTGAATCTCGAGACTTCTGCGTAGTCAGGGCATATACGTGTTGGCCTGCAGTGCTTCGAGGAACTCTGTTCGGAGTTCGGGTTTGGCGGCCGCCAACGCTTTGGCTAGAGAGCCCCTCGCAGAACGGTTGACTTGGGGACTGTCGCTGCTAAGAGCCTGTCGAGTCGGAGACAATGAAGGGCAATGTTGAATTGCCAAGCCTTCCGGAGTTGACCGGAGAGACGGGGGTTGAGTTCAGTGACTGGCTGTACGTGGCGGAGCAGAACATTGGATCGCTGTCAGACTCGGCTACGGCTTGGTTCGGTCAGACGCTGCAGTGCGCAAGAGAGGCCTACAAGCGACATCAGGCGGCAACTGCGATCGAGCGGCTCACCATAGCCCCTGTGATTCCTCGTGAACTTGGTGATCCTAAGTGGAGTCGTCTTGAAAGGTTTGTGATGTCGATGTTGTTGATGGTACCCCATGCAAGTTCTTCATGTCCGAGTCTGGGAGGAGAAACGAGCGAGATTCGAGATGCTGGTATTGTGGAGGTCGCTTGCGTCCCCGTTAAGGATCCTTCCCGGGCCACCAATGCGGCTTCATAATCTACTACATCCCCAACGGCTGCATCGCATGCGAAGGCCGAGACTATGGCAGCGGTTCCTCCAGAGCTTAAGGCAACGGGACATATGAGTTCCTCGACAGCATCAACTACGGCTTCCTCTACAGTTGCACCAGACACCGTGGTGCAGGCGGAACCAAAGCAGGCCTTGACTCCAGCGGCCTTGCAGAATCAAGAACTGCAGAGTTTCATGAAGGAGGTGAACACTATGTTGCCCAGGATGAGCAGGTTGAGTTGCTTGAGTGTGGCGGGCTTTGATGAGGACCCGAAGGCCAAGATTGATCAAAAGGATGGAATCGGCTTCTGAGGACTCGGCGATCGAACCTAAGCGGTGGGCTTTGCTGGATACCGGTGCCACAAATGCTTTTCGAATGGCGAGGGACGGAGAGGAGCAAGGAGCTGTTCCAGTGCGAGTTCAGCTTGCCGATGGTCAGGATGTTCTGCTTCGACAGAACAAGGCCGGGACCCTGATGCCGTATAGCAAAAGGAAGACAGCCAACTAGTCGCATGGCTCCGGAGTGATTGTACCCCTGGGAACTCTCGTCAGAGAACTTGGATGCAAAGTAAGTTGGACTAAGCGTGGCCTACAAGTGACGCACCCGGAGCACGGCATCATCACTACCCACGTTTCGGGAGATTGTCCATTCATTGGAGAGGCCCAAGCCTTGGAATTGATTGGAGAGATAGAAAACCGCAAGCTTGAGCAGCTCAAGGTTTCGATGGCGGAACACCAGCTTCGACCACATGGTGTGGAGGCTTCCCTTACCTACGGTGCGCAGCTTGAAGAGTACCGGAGAACAGGATCGAGGGTGCATTTTGATGTGCGAAGTTCAGTTTTTGGATGCCTCACAGAAGCTCAGCGTTGCTCGTTGGCGGTGGACGTGGATCTCAGTGACAAGGCGGGTC